CTCAGGGGGCGATCTGAACATAAATATTACATCTTCCGAGATGAACAGCAGGTCCAGCGGAGGACAGGATTACTGGGGCAGCTAACGGGGGAGATAAAAACAGAACAGCTCAGAGAAGGGAGGGTTGGGGGGATGGGGGGGGCGTCCACATTAATCGTCGTCGGAGTCTCTCTCAATGGCGTAGACCATGAAGAAGGCATCAGGCCTGGGGGGGACGAGGGGGTGGCCGGGTCTCACAATCTCAAAGCCCAGGAAACTGAAGGTGCGCAGCAACAGAGCTGGGGGTGGAAAGAGAGTGAGTGAAGGAGAGAGCGAGGAAGAGGCAGCAATGACCCAAGAGGAGGAGGAGGAGGAGGAGGGCATACCTCTGTCATCGCGGTTCTTGTGGAAGCAGATGAAGACGTGATCGACCTTCAGCTGCTCCTCTGCAAACTCCAGCAGCAGGGCAAAGCTGAGAGAGAGAGAGAGAGAACAGTCACCTACTTCAGCTCCCAGCCCGGTCTTGCACAGAGAAGACAAGGGGACCCTATGCGAGAACTCGATTCTCGAAGGCATTCACACAGTCCACCCGGGATTTCTCCTACACGAACCAGAGGGCACTTCACACAAAGGGTGGTGGGAGTGTGGAACGAGCTGCCTAGCCAGTTAAAGCCAAGCCCCTGGTCGCTTTCAAGAAACAGTGGGCTGGGATACTGGACTCAAGTACTGCGCAGGCTGGCCTCTTCTCCTTTCCAGCTGCTCTCATGGGCACTTTACCATGAGGCAGATGGACAGCAGTTCTCCGTCTCGTCGACGGACACAGGAGGTGGGGTTACCCAATACAATAAAACCCAAGACCGCACCCCCCCCCAGGCCCCAGTAGAGCTACACCCCACCCCCACGCCCTACTGCCCCAGCTCACCTGTCCTTGCTGCCCTCGGGCAGGGTGCCGGGGGGGATCTCGACGTACAGGCTGGCCCCACGCAGGGCCCCCCTCCAGGCACAGTGGGGCCCCTCCGCCCGGCGCGGCTCGAACTGCAGGAACCGCACGCGCCCCGCCGCCGGGCACGGGGGCTCCTCGCGCACCAGCAGCC